GACGTTAAATAAATATCAACATTACAATGGTTGTGCCTATTGAAAAATGCTCTAGTCAATATATTTACCTAACCCGCCATGTTAAACTTCCCTATCCCAAGCGTGATGTATACAACTTCCTTACTTCTCGAGTGATGTAAAGTTGAAAAAAACTCACTCGGTGATGTAATGAAACCCATTTAAATAACATTGAGTGGATAACTTAAAAAATATACCTCCATGGAGCCAACGACGTTCAACGCTAGAAATCAGCTGTGTGTTTGAATTTTATTGTTATGCGTTGAAGAATTTTCCTAACCTAGCTTTTGTTTGTAAATGGACGTTACTGTTAGAAGATGAGTGAAATTGATAATGAAGTATATTGCTCGTAACCTCCTTAATATTGTCGGGTCAGGTAAAATTTTGTACGTTACAAGTTACGCAAGAGCGTGTTTACATCACTTCGGTGAATTATGCAACTCGCCTTCGCTCGTTGCACAACATTCACCTGCGTGATGTAAAAACGCTCTTACTACACTTGTAATGTAAATAGCTATTACTACGTAAGCCGATTATTTGCGTCAAAATTGTAGGCGACTGAGAAGTCCTAGAATGACGGGAGAGGGCTCAAATTAAAGGGAAAGGTCACAATACCGAGACGGCGGAAAAAATAGTGAAATTCCCAAAATTTTAACACAAAATTACATATGAAGTAAATTGTTCTCCATAAGAATAGCATTAGAAGTAATTTAATGCTGGTTTTTGTTTACTACAATAGGCTACGACTGATCGAGGCCTGAAAGAGGCCTCGTGCTTGTGGCAAAAAATACCATACATATAAAACTCTTGTCCCAACGTAAAATGTAGCTTGTAAAATGGTGTTGTGTTGGAGATTCAATGGAGTTCAAATACTTTTAAAAATAAAAACATTGCTCCGTTTATGTTTTACTAGCTTTGTGTCCGTTCTACGTACGGGGATCTTATCTTAGTCAGTTGAAACCTTAAGAACAGCAGTTGGTTTGCATAGTTTCAGATATCTGCATAACAAATATTTGCATAATTCAGCTACCAACTCGTCTAAGGCAAACGAACCCGAACCAAAAACTAACGTTTACAGCAAAAAAAATTAAAGTAAATAGACCAATTATATGCGTTAATCAAGTTTATTGATCTCTTATTGGTTTTGGATTTTCTCGTAAAAAGTTATCGGCAATCAATGTTATTTCACATTAATTGCTTTATTTGTAAACAACTTTTAATGTAAACTTATCAGTGTCAGTTTGAAAAAAAAACAACCTTATACAAACAACTTTTTGTCATTTAATAGATTACGTATTCTATAAACAATGATTGGTATAGAAGGAAACGTGACAAAAATCAAACAACGTTGGGTTTTTGGACGTTTGTAATTTTATTTCTTAAGTAGGTAGGAGGTAGGCCGTGTATTCTAGGGAAAAGTACCGGTTATCACGGATTGTCGTCAAAAAGTTTGTTATGAATAATTGGGTAGGCGTACGTACCCAAAGGATGGGCTATGGGCCTATTGGCTGTATGGTCCAGCGATTGCATCACACGGTGAGTATGAACTATTGACTATTAAAGTCAATGGTATAGGAACAAAAAGTGACACATTAAAAAATCGAGTTTAGCATCATCCGTAAACCTCAGTTACAATCACCAACTGCAGTTGTGATTTTTTACTTTACACTTATTGAAGCGCCGTCAATGAGTGGAAACCTTGTTTCTAATTTATTGGTGTCGATCATTAATAAATTTAAGTTTCCCAGCCGTATACAAAACTGATTCAAGGTCTTCTTTCTGGTTATCAAAACTCAAGAACAATCTTATACACAACTAATCTCTGGTTCCTGACCTGGATGATGCCTAGTTATTTAATTTCATTTAAGTGGTTACACTATTTTATTGCACTTGCGATTAATTAAATCCGATATGCAAGAAAAACGTTTTTAATCTCACTTGGTTGGGATTTGCTTTTAAAATGTAATCGAAAATGGTTACGGTATTTGTAAACAACATTTGTAAACATATTAGTGACACCTAGAAAAAATTACCTTGATCCGAACAGCTGTTCGTTATTTCATAGATGATTATGTGATAAAAATTGGACGAAAACTTAACAAAAATCGCACAAAACTGCATTTTTGAACGTCAGTAATTGTATTTACAAAGTAGTGAGGCCATATATTAATGACTAAAAACACTCTCGCCAATCCAGTGAATACATTAAAATGACTTGGATCTTGATAGGTACTCTCGTTTTCCTGGAAAAGATAGCGTAAAATGCCATCTTGAGTGTTACAGACGGACAGCAGACAGACAGACAGACAGACGGACAGAAATAAAGAGATAAGACTCGTTTCTGCTTCTTTAATCTTCCAAATTTTAGTGTGTTCCCTCAATTTCTTTTGACTGATAACAGCCAGGCTTACGCACAGGCACCTGCCCATTAGTCAAATTTAGGCAAAGTAAGGCAAATTCTATCTTAAAAATGTTGTACTCTAATGTTGTATAGCTACTCTCTGTTTTAGTTTATTATTCTTGGGATAAATAAAAGTTTTTTATTTAGTTTTTCATTTCATAATGTATAAAACTTAAAAACAACCTAAAAATATATTATTATGTGCAATGTACAGACAAAACTCGAATCTTTTATATGGATTTTAGATAGATTGGACGTTATTCTTTAAACTCTAAGTATATACCAATAATGATTTTAAGCCGACAGAAATATACTATCCATTCAGTTTTTCAGTTTTATAAAAGGTTTAATAAAATAGTAATTATGCGTAAAAATTTGGATTTTTACGCCACGCCACGCTTCATGATGTCTGTTCAGCAGCAGCACAACGGACTCAGAGAACAATAACTGTACAAAATTACAACCTCGTGCTCCTCAAAGAATGTCATGTCTATCACTGAAGACACAAACCATCCCCACAATGTACCATTTGGTAAAATTCTCTCTCTAAAATTTAAACGAACCAATCAGAATTGACATCCTCATAGGGACCGCAGATATTCTCTTATATCCCCACAGTTGATCATGAGGTACAGTTCTCTCTCTAAATTCAAAAAGGACCAATCAGGCCTCGTATCCCCATAAGGACCAAAGCTTTACTCTCTTTTCGGAGAGAGAAAACCGGCATCAGCGCAGCTCTGGTGGCCGCAAAAGCGAACTAAGTGTAAGGATCATAAGGTGCCATGTGGGGATATTTTCGTTTTGCGCTGAAAGTGGGCAATTTCTGCATTATTTTGAACGAATAATCCATTCCAGCCAAAAAAAAAGACCTGGTCCTTATGGGGATATCCCCACAAGGACCAATAGCCCCACAAGTATACTTCAGGACGAGCGTATAGCCGCATAAGTGACCAGATAATAGAACTCTCTCTCTCTCTCTCTCTCTCTCTCCCTCTCTCTCTCTCTCTGTGTGTGTGTGTGTGTGTGTGTGTGTGTGTGTTTGTATACAGAGCTACAGATCCTGTGGTCTGATTTTAATGAAATTTGGTCTGTGGGTTGGCTACTAACCCATGGTACTCGGGGAGTTTTTTCAAACTTTTATTTATATTGGTGATTTACTCATAAAATAACAGAAAATTGGATTTTGATTACAATTTGGTACTTGATACTAAAATAGAACAACCACCACTACTGTAAAAATTATGATTCAAAAGTTATTGCAACTTTTGTTATTTTTCCCATAAAATATCATAGTTACTCCCACCTTTGATGGAGGCTAATGGGAGAAAGTATGTGTCAGATTGCTGATGCCATTTATTATAGGTTGTTTTTAGTATTCATACCACAGAGAACTCCATAATTCTAAAGGATGATCAGCAGTTTAACATCCTAAACCAGAATTTGTTTATTTTTTAAAAGCTCAACTAGCTGAAGTTTTTAAAAATACAACAGACTGTCCTTACTAACCCCAATTTTAACTTAGCCCTTATTAGAATAATTTAGCCTTGGACTGAACAGCCTTAGTTACGAATACCCTATTCTTGTCATAAATGGAAACTCATTGCAAAAAGATGAATACAATCTTATTGCACAATTTAATTAAACACTTTTCCAACTTTTATGAAACACTTACAGTCTTCAAAAGAACAATTTAAGTTTAATAATAAATAAGAGAATCACTTGGGTTTGTTAAAAAGTTGGAGGCGGTCTACCGTTCTAGTCAATAAAAAGCCTCCCAAGAAGATTGGGCTTTAACCAACTTTCTGAAAAGTTTTGTACTCGTTTAAGCCTCAAAGAAGCTAATTATTTTTTATCTTTGATATTTCCATGGTCTTGTTAGAAGAAGTATTAATGATCATTTGAGTTACTGTATTTTCATTCCACAAATAAAAGATTATATGTTCTTGAAATATGTAGATTAAAACTATAATTTTGTGTACCATAAAGGTATTACCTACCACTAAGTAACTAATGTGGTCTAACCCACTCAAGCATTCTATGCCTCTGTCACCCACTTTCTCCCAGTAGATTTTCAAGAAGTAGCCAATGGTGCAGTTGTAAATTTTCTAGTGTCAAAAGCTCACCATTGTCTGAAATATGACTAACATTGGAGAATCTAAGATCCCAATTCCCCCCCCCCCCCCTCATTACCATGTACAAGGTGTCTCAAAGTCTAGCCAATTTTTAGCCTTAAAGAGAAAGCGAACAGTGCAAATGGTTACATTTGTTTTAAACTACTCTACTAATAAACAGTAAACAAGTAAGAACGTAATATTATTACTGTTTATACAATTTAAATAATTTACTGCTTGAAATATGTACTCCAGTAGTTAACAAGTAGTTTTAACCTGAAAATACGAGATGCCATTTCAAATTATTAAACCCTTTTACCCATTGTGAGTAATAACTCGGAAAAACTTGGGCTGCTTACTAATCCATAGGATTCTTGCAAACAGCAGAGTCTATACTACCCCCAAAACAATGCAGGAAGTAACCTTAGATCAATGAAAACCATTTTTACCCCTGGAATATGGTGACTCACCGACAGGCCTCATGATGTAGTTGCGGAAGTACTGAACCATGAGGTAGCTGCCTCCTCCAGACTTTCCGTTGTCTGAGTAACTAATCACCAAGGGGTACAGATCTGGCTTTGATGTCACCTGGACACAGAATAAGGTTGAATCATAATTATTTATGCATAGTTTTATTTATTACGATAAATGATATAAGTTATTGAATAATGAATTTTTTATGTAGGTTTCAAGTCTATATGGAGCAGCTGTATCTTTTTATTGTGCAAATAAATACCCCCGCCGCAGCAAACCTGCCGTCTAAGCGAATTTCCATTTGGCTGAATTGATTTTCAATCGAGCTATTTAAATAACATTAGGTTTAACAAGTACCTAGGTTTGCTGCTACAAGGAAACTGATAAAGTTTGTGTTTTAAGTAAAATAATTATTGCTTAGTAGAAAATGAATATATTTGCCAAGTTTGAACAAAAGATATCCATAAACAAGCAAACTACAACATTTTACAATATTCTCCATAAGAATAACATGGGAATTTTAAATTTACAATTTTTTAGTTTTCTCCGTAACCAATAACCGTACAAAAACACTTTGATATACTGAATTGTTTGTTTTTTTAAGCTCTTTAAGAAGGTTTAGAGAAAAATTGGGAAATTTTGTGTTTTGAGGGTCAAAAGTGAGAAAAACCAATTTTTACCTCATAAAACCCCCCATAAAACCCTGTTCCCATGGTCCGATCATGCTGGATCGCGAACTCATTCAAGTTTATCCCGCCTTACACCTTCAAACCAAATTTCATCAAAATCGGATAAAAATTACTCAAGTTATCGTGTTCACGGACACATATATATATAAATCTATATATATATATATATATATATATATCTATATATATATATATATATATATATATCTATATATATATACATATATAAAAATTTGAACGAATGGTGTTTTTGGCCTCTGGGGACATCAAAATGAAAAAGTAAATCGGTCCCGGGCCTAAGTCTTACCATGAGACCTACGGTAATAGCTACTTCCCTATAGGGAAATTCGCTAAAAGAACATATTTCAATGAGCCACTCACAGACGAATGTGCTACTGTACAGTCTAAGGGTAAAAACACACATACAGCGATTCAGAGCAGAGCGGGCAGGGCGATCCAGAGCGAGCTGTAGGACCGTAGCAGTGCAGCTGAGAGCACAGAAAACATACTACTATAGTTCGGCCGCATAGAAAACAACCTGCGTGCTAATGCTAAACCAATGCTAGAGGTAATGCCAACCCCATGGTAAAAAGCATTAAGTACTTTGAAAGAGCTTTGCCTGTCAATTTATAGGCAGCGCCACCAGCATTGCTATGCACTCAGCATAGATGGTGGCGCTGCCTACGAATTGACAGGCAAAGCTCTCTCAAAGTACTTAATGCTTGTTACTGTGGTTGGTATACTGGGTTATAGTAGTATGTTTTTATGCTGAGAGCGACTGACATCGCACACATGCAGCGACTAGCGAGAGCGACACAAACGGGAGCTCGATCATTTCCAAGATATCACATAGTAAGTTTGCACGCAATTTGCAGCTCAGCTAAAACACGTGGCTAAAAACATTCATTTTGCAAGCTTCAAAACGATATGAAGTGGTTGCATGGAATGAATGGAGGAAGGGAGGTACATGGTGAATTTCTCCATTTGTTTCCAGTTCTTTAGAAGCATTTATCGCGATTCCTGCAATACATGTCTACCTCTACCTTTGAATATATTCATTTAAAAAGAGAAAATTTCAAAAACGCTCCGGGTAGTTCCCTTTCCGGTAGGATGGGCGTACTGTCTACTGGCCATACTCTATTTTTTACTGGCGTAAGGTCTACTGGCGAGAGTGGAACTAAAAAGTCCACAAGATCGTTGCCCGCTCCGCTCCCAAACGCTAGAAAAACAAAAGAGATTGTTCCAATGTTTACCACTCCACTCCGCTTCGCTCGCAACAGCTGTTTGTGTGCCCATTACTACTTGATTGTATAGGTTTGATTTTGCCGCTCTAAATCGCGCCGCTCCGCTCCGCTCCCAGTCGTTGATGTGTGTTTCTACCCTAACATTCTACTGATGATAGTTGATGTGACATAAAATATACTATTGCGTACAGTAATTTGTCCTATCAGTTTGAGTTGGTTAAAAGGTCACAAATTCAGAAATCAGCAATTTTTCATTTAGCCCACACTCTGCGGCTCAATTCAACTACTCTATTATCATGTAGTTTTTATGAAGTCCACATGGCTGAAGTTGGCTCCACCCACAGCTACAACTCTAACGTGAGAATGGATATATAGTTCTATCCATAATCAAAGGTATTAAGCAGCACGAGTGAATATGTCTGATTAGTACTCGCTGTGTGAATAACCTCTTAACTCTTCAAAGACATTAGTCCTTAACATAATTACTCATTACAGTATTTAACATAATTAGAGTACATCATTAGGCTTCACTTTATCATCAGAGTAACAATCAATGGTACTATATTGCGTATAGCATGTCGCCCAAAGTAATGTGAAAAACCATTCCAGGCACCTATAGCTTCCAAGGATAAAAAAATAACAAATAAACTACATTACGTATTTCCATACCTCTGAGTAAGGAGGTGGGGGAGGCTGATGGAAGGAGGAGCACCGGCTATAGTGAGGCGGTTGGCAGCAAGATCCGGCGCTGTCAGGCTCCGACGCTGCGTCTTGGTTTGGTGAGTCTCTCTTGCGCCAGAGACCGCAGCCACACACAACACACACCAGCGCCAGGCCGATGACGCCCATGCACCTGTGCCAAATTTACATATTTCAAACAAATGTAAAGGACTACTTAGATGCGTCTTTTTTTTAAATCACCCATAAGATTTTACTTGGCTTTTTATATAGAGCCTAGCAATTGTGAATCAAAATGTTATTGAAATATTAGAGGTGGCACATACTCCATTAGAGCCTCAAATATCTTCTACAAAGTTGTATGTTCTCTAGGCTTTGGTAGTTAATGTAACTAAGGGAAACTTCTTAGTTAAATTTACTTTTAAATTAAACTATTCACAAAGTGCATCACAATTTTAGAAAGTAATGGGTGATAAAGTATACAATAATCCAATTTCTTATCACATTCACATGTTCAGTCGGTAGTGCCACGGGCTTCAGGCCGAAGGCAGTTTAGTTTCGTCGTTTCGCAGTTATGGCGGTTTGTATCCTGGTTTGTGCCAATACTTTTTATCATTGCTCCACCCCTTGCTTTACTGGATACGTTTCAAGCACGCAGGCCTCTGTGGCCCAAGTGGGTAGACAAATGCAAGGTAAAAGAGGACACCAACCCCTTAAAAAAATATATACATCCAACTACAATCTACAGTGTTAGCAAAACAGGAGTGCCGATGGAGACCAGGTCAAGTTCCTTCAAATGCACGCACCCCACAGGTCTCCATCGGCACTCCCGTTTTGCTAACACTATAAATACACTGCCCACCAAACTAAAACATAAGAATTCAAACGAACAAGCAAGAAGATAAAACAAGTATAGTTCTACAATGTAAAACAGATATAGACCCCTACACCAAACCGTAATTGATTGTTTAGACTCCCTATATACCTTTAGATTTTACCCTGCTAGAAACTGAAGATGAAATAAAGTCTGCATCAGACAGAAGTCTTTTCGAGGTATTGAGGTGGATCAGTGGAAAACTGAAAAGGAAAGAATGTCACCAACAAAGTAAACCTTATCAGGTGAATCCGGGGTGTTTTTGTTGCGCCAACGGATGCTTCCTTTGGGGCAACTTTAATGGCTTCTCTTATTGGAAAGGTTAGAGTAGTTTTTCTCAGTGCTGCATTTTTATCTTTTGGATTAGAACTTGTTTTGTACAAGGTTTGTTTTGAAATTTCAATAAGTGTATTCAGCAGAGAACATTTATCTCCATTTAAAGATATTTTTTATTTATGTATTTTTTTTACCCATTTAAATGTTTAATGTTATTACTCATACATATTTGGTATAAATAAGATTAAAGAACTATTGTACCTGGCCTTTCTTGGACGTAAAAATTACCTTCAAGGTTTTACTTCCATTGGGTTAGGTACCGTATTATTTCAAACAATTATAGAGTCTTTAAGTAAAAACAGCATCACAAAACCTCACCATACATCCATATGTAACTTTTGCATCAATGGATTTTTGATAAACATGATTTTTAAGAACTACAGAAAATAAATATTCATAGTCTAAAATCAAGATTACAAATTATTAGAGTAAGTATTAAAAATCCTAAAACCTTTGCAATTAAGTATCACTGCCATAAAGTTTCAACAATGTTAGTGATATGTATTATTTATGACAGTTTCTTTATGCAAAGATTTAATTAGTGTTAATATTATTATTATTATTGTGAACAAAAGGAACAACCATTTACTCTAATCCTAATGTCATTAAAGCATCTTTCTTGACTTCGATTAATCCCACACTCAAATTCAGTTTCTTTTATAGTTATTAAAAATTACTCTTTCATTCAATCCAATTTCTAATTGAGGTGAAGATTGATAAGGGCTGGGGAAGACGTATTTTAACCTCAGAAAATCAATTGCTTGGTGATATAGAGCGTGCAGGAGCCAAATGTAGGTATCAGACAATCTGTCTTTGTCACAAGCAGAGAGTCTCGCGAGACAAATGATCAAACAGAGCTTTGAATGATGGTCTTGTCTTAGGAAAACATTCCACTTCAATTAAATTAATTCCGATTGAATGCTTCATCAACTGTACTCATTTGAGATTGAAATGATGAGAGATCAGTTATAGATGAGTGTCGACTCATTTATCAAAAATTCTAACTGAACTAATAGTCACAAAAGTCATAATTGTCACTGTGAAGGTTTGTTTAACGAGGTGTCGAAACGTTTTATAATTGATCGATTTGACCTTGTTATCTGGCTGATTTTGTTGACTTAATTAATTTTTTTTTCAGTTTTAATATTATTTTTTTGTTATTTTATATATTGTTATTTTGTATTATTGTTAGTTACGTGATACAAATAATTTAAGGGAACTTTATAAGGAAATACACTACTATATGATTTTGTACAATATAGTATTATCTTTAGTATCCAATCAATCGTTACCTACTTTTTATGTTATCTGATCCTCCCTGTGAATGACCTATTATCATGAAACCATGAGGAAGGTATGGGGGTTTAGTGAGTGGGAGAAAATTTCGCGCCGTTCCGGCCAAACCTCGCATGCGGGGTTGGTTCGGCAGATTGGCCACAACCTAAACCCCAACTCTCACTTGTTAGCTGCGGAGAGCTACCTTCTGCCACTGGGTGTTGGTCCACCTACTGAACCAAGTGAGGGGGGCCCTAGACTAAGGTGTAATGCGATCCGTGCCAAGAGTCTTGTGGCACTGGGGGCCTAATATTCAGTGTCTTAACGGAGCCATCTGGGAACCAGGGGTAACCCAGTCGTACGCACCCCTCACCTCTCTAATCGGGTCACTGGGGAGGTGGACTTAAATACCCGGTATTCGTGAGAACAATGTAGACAATCTGACCCAAATGGAGGAGGAAGGTCTACTGAAATCTGACGATGACGACAAGCTCGCAGAAACCGGAAAGGAACGAAAAACGACTTTCCAGGGGCGAGTTGCAAAGATGAAGGATAGCGGATGCTTAAGCCAAAGGCGAAAAGGTGCTATTCAGAAGTGAGAGGAGGCTGGTGTGGGCTGCCAAGCACCCTAACTCTGCTGCCTGCAAAGCCAGTTCCTCCGGGAGCTAGGATGCTGGGAAAAAGCAGAGCAAGGGTGGTACCCCCAAAGCTGACTCTAATGAAGCCTCCAGGAAGAAAGGTGGAGGCTGTGCTAACGCAGCCACAAAGGATTGGCTGGTCAAGCAAGTTCAGGAGCTGAGTCCTTTCAGGAAAATCTCGCTACGGCTTGCCCCAGCCAGAGACCTTGTGAAAGCTGTGAAGGTATATTTATGTACCCAGCCCTACAAGGTCTGCGTATGAGATCCCTCGTACGAAAAACAACTTTCCAGGGGTGAGTTGCAAAGACAGAGGATAGCGGATGCTTTAGCCAAAGGTGAAAAGGTGCTATCCAGAAGTGAGAGGAGGCTGGTGTGGGCTGCCAAGCACCCTAACTCTGCTGCCTGCAAAGCCAGTTCCTCCGGGAACTAGGATGCTGGGAAAAAGCAGGGCAAGGGTGGTACCCCCAAAGCTGACTCTAATGAAGCCTCCAGGAAGAAAGGTGGAGGTTGTGCTGACGCAGCCACAAAGGATTGGCTGGTCAAGCAAGTTCAGGAGCTGAGTCCTTTCGGGGAAATCTCGCTACGGCTTGCCCCAGCCAGAGTCCTTGTGAAAGCTGTGCAGGTATATTTATGTGTCCAGCCCTACAAGGTCTGCGTATGAGATCCCTTGGCCTATTGGTGGGAGATCAAAGGGAACAACAGGTCACCATAGTAAAAAAAAGACTCTCACGGTTCACCAAAGACCTGGGATTTGACGGAGAATGAGGATCTGTGAACGAGGGTGCACAATAAGCTTTTCTAGCTGCGATGCAATCCCATGGTAACTTGTAAGCCTGGCCCTCTATTAAAAAAAAAAAAAAAAAAAAAAAAAAAAAAAAAAAAAATGAAACTATACCGCTTTTTCTATGTGGTGCGCTTGTACTCTGTAGTAATGTTAAGACTACCTTTTTGTTGCCCCTAACCTTTTTTATTATTATTATACAAAAAGAGGTTGGGCGGCCGCTTTTAACCTTGCATTTTCCTGTCCACATAGACTACAGATCTGTGCGTGGAACGTATCCAGCAAAGCAAGGGGTGATCCGGTACAGTATGAAGGTGAACTGTACTGATAACATTTTTGCGGCAGTGACCAGGATCCGAACCCACAAAATTGCTGCCTTGGGCCCGAAGTCTGTGACACTACCAACTGAGCCACCGACTAATCTAACTGTATTTGGGTTAACATTTTTGTACCTGTATACTTCTCTGTTAACCCTCATGTTTTAGTCACAGCAGTGGCGGTTTTAGGACCTTCATTGTGGAAGGGATACCGTACCGGGGGACTCCATTGAAAAAGGGGGTCGGGTGTCCTCCTTCAGAAAAATTAGTATTTTAAAAACCTCTTGGCGACTTTCCAAAGCCATTTTTAATTTCTATAACTGTGTCTCAAAACCTACGTTACGTTTCAGCAGAAAAAAATGTTTAAATTTATTTTTCCAGGGTCCATTGGGGGGCTTTAGCCCCTGTAGCCCCCCCCCCCCCCCCCCGCCTCCTTGGAACTGCCACTGAGTCACAGTACCAACAGAGAACTGTAAGGCTGAGCGGACTTTAACTTTATATTTTATATTTTACTTTTGTGATAGTGTTATTGCTTTGTCAGCTTTTATTTACACAATTTGTAAAATGGCCTAAAAAGGTGTTACGTAAGTAGTTTCAATGGAAGACACTTAAAGACTTACAACAATTAGATTTAACAACAGAGAAACTATAATCACAGACTTACCGACACAAGTAGATCTCTCATCCCATTGTAAATTCTGAAGCTAGTTTTTCATGCTTAGTTCATGTCTGGTGATCACTAGTGTTGATGCAATTTTGTGTCCATCATTTTAGTGTTAATTCCGTAATTTGTGCTTACTTTTTGGTTATATGACTGGGAGACGAGGTATTGTTTATGATTAAATAGTTTTTTTGTTCAAACGAGATTTTAGACTGAAATAAACAAATTTTAAACAAAACACGACCTCTACAGTGCACCGTACAGAACTAACAATAACATTTGTGTATTTAGATCCAACTTCAAACATCTAAATGATAAAATGGAGGTAGAATCAAATATTGAATGAAAATTTATTTACATTATCATACTTGTGACAATTTAAGTTACTACTTATTCTCCAGGTTAAAGTAGTTTTTTAGAACATGTAAAGCATAAAATATGAAGTGTAGAACTAAAGAACCAAAGTGAACAGCCAAATGACATACTCACCATAGATACCAGTGATTCCAGTTAACAAGACTGAAGAAGTTTGGGGCAGGGGGAGGGTACAGGTAGCAACATCCGAGAGAACAGCATTCTTTGGGGGGAGTGCAGCTGGAAAACAAATAAATATTTTAGTTTCATCGAATGTTCAATACTATAATACAATATTGACATATATTTTACCAAAATATAGATAACACTATATTTGACATTGAAATAATTTGTTTGTTGATAACATGGCTGGGTATCTGAGTGCATATAGTGCTACCCGCAGAGTGTAGAAGGTCTCCGTTTTAATTCGGAGAAAAGTCAGCAGCATAAATGGTTCAAAACTGAGTTTGTATCCATGATTATTGGTTAATACTGTTAATACTGTTCGATGAAATGGCGACCTTACATAGTAGGTATTTTAAGCCAAGTATTGGTATTGGTCATTAAGCGCACAACTGTAGATATGTACTGAATGAGAGAATTGTGAAATGTTGGTCATCATTTGTACTACGGGATGAAGTACATTGTACCTAGTACATTTGAACTAGTGCATTTTGGGACTGTAGATACATAAAGCCAATGACGGGACCAATAAATATGATAGTAAATGATACCAATAAAGCCAATATCAGCCAATGAACTTATTTGGAAAATTCACAAAAAGAAGGCACAATGAAAGCATTAAGTTAATAAGCAATATATTGCTGTCCTATCTTATCTCTGGACTGTCTTATCCATGTGACTTACCACTGACTCTAAACCACAAGGGTAGAGTTTATAGTTTATAATTTTACCAAACCTGTAATTTTACCAACAGTAGTTAAGTGTTCTGTCAGATTTGGTGGAGACTCATCATGGCGTTCCGCAAGGGTCGATCCTAGGACCTTTGTTGTTTATTATTTATGTTAATGATATGCCTTATAATTTACAGAATGAATGTGTTTCTTGTTATATGTATGCTGATGATGTGTGTCTAAATTTTAAAACACATAAGGACTTGCAGAATGGAATCACTGTTGGCTCTGTTAATACAATGGTAGACTGGTGTAATTTTAATAAACTATCTTTAAATTTAAATAAAACGCAAGATCTGAAAATTCCTTATGCTAACACAGATTCTCATCAACAACCTGTTAAATTTTTAGGTATCTTAATTCAGAGCAACTTGAAGTGGGAATGACACATAGAATTTGTAGCTGTTAAAATATCCAAAGGTATGTTTATACAGTTGCAGCCATCTCACCCGATATGACCCGAAAGGTAATGGACAACTACTGGGAACGTTTGAACCAATGTGTTAACACTGGAGGCCGCCATTTAAATGATATTTTATTTAAAACACGATAATTTTAAATTATCGATTATTAAAACAACATTTTATTTAAAGCACTATAATTTTATATTTTTTAAAATGGCATAATGTGTGTTTTTGGTTAATAACAATAAAAATGTCATATCTTACTTAGTTTTGTTTTTATTAGCTTTCCTAATAGGGGAGTTCTTTCTGCCGCACCCTGTATTAAGAAAACTAAAAAATGTTGTTTCAATGGAAGTTCTGCTTACTGTTTACTATAGATACATACACTGTCATCTTACCTATGGTACCATTCTTTGGGCTAATTGTGGTTATGTAAAATCTTTATTTGTGTTGCAGAAGAGAGCTCTTAGATTAATTGCTGTTGTTCCACCAAAAACTCATTGTAAGCCCATTTTTAGTTGTTTATCTGTCATGCCTCTTATTTGTATATATATTTTTCACTGTCTTATGTATTGTAAAAAGAACTTAAACACTTTGTCTTCCCACTGTGATGTCCATAGTTATAAGACCAGAAACTGTGCTAAACTAAGAAATTATTACTGTACTTATAGTATTACTCAAAAAAGCTTTAAATATTCCTCGATTAAGTTATTCAATCATCTACCATATTATATTCAAGAGTTACCATTAGATAGATGATATATTTAAAATAGCTGTTAAGAATTTGTTATTGAAATACTGTTTTTATGACTTAGATGAATATTTTGACAATTTGACCTTTGAAATGTTTTATTAATTTACATATTGACGCAGCCTATACAACATTGTATGATTTTTATACATTGTTGTCTCGGAATAAAGATTGATTGATTTGATTTGAAGTGTGATTAAATGACTTCATAGACTAGGGTACAAAGTGATAGTGGTTGAAGTTGAACATATATAAATAACAATTCAGGAAGTTTACATTTGCTTTGTCCTACAACTTGTATTTTTGTTCTATGGTGTTTTTAGATGTTCATAATTACATGTAGAAATCAACATGACCAGCTTTGATAGTATAAAAGGGTGCATGAATAAAGTTAATAATTTTATGAAATATGGATTAAGATTCTCACAATTCTATTAATCACATTTAAGACATGTTGAAATTTATATAACGACTATACTCAAAGATGATGATGTCTAAATGGCAAGAAGATGTGTGGAATACTTTATCACCAGTTACCAAACACACAAGCCAGGGAACACTTAAAGGGCAAGAAAACCCTTTTAGCAGTATCAAACAAAAACAACCCCCTACACCCCGAGTAAGGGACTTTTATTAATGGTCCTTAGGGATGCCAGGGAAGAATATTTCCTGGATTTACAGTTTCCAACAATGTTCATCAGTTCATCTTCAGAAATTAATATCTGAGAGGAACAAAATTAAAAGAATGATGAATGTGTTCAGCACACTTTTGCTATCTTCTTAAAAAGGATGACATAATAATTTAAATTAATCTTGAATCGTCCATAGGCTTAAAAATATTGAATTTTTAATCAAAATGTTTAAAAAAATGAAGAACTGAATATTTAAGGAGTTTTGATTAGAGTTTATCTAAACAAATCCTGCAGTTTTATTGCGTTGATGTAGGCATTCTGTAAAATTGTCTTTTGTTTACAACACCCAAACATTATTTAGCTTATACAAACTGAGTACCTACTTTATACAGAATAGTTCATAATTCAATCCTTATATTATACTTTATTTTTGTAACCAATTAAAACTTCTTTCACAATGATCAAGCTTAAAGGCGGGATCTGATTGTAAATGTTGTATCCAAGACAGTTTGCAGCGTAAGACAACAAATGTTAAATGGTCTCTGAACATTTAATTGGAAGAACAACTATGGCAGGGTTGGATGGGCTGTCAGAAGGGGAAATGAGAGGGGTTTGATGATGGGGGTGGGGGGGTATTGTTCATTGTTTACAAGCTCCGGGCTATTGAGCCATAGTGAAGACAAGACATTGGAAAGTTGAAGAGTGTTGGATTGAAATTTTCCAACTTGATTGCTTTAGTTTGGATTAAAATTGCTTGGGGATTTGAAAATATTTATTTAATCAGTCAATTAACACAATAAATTTGGATAGTGTTATGCTAAGGAGATTTAATTGATTTTCATATATTTTTATTTGTTAGTGCTTAACACCATTGGCTTTTTAAACAAAGAGTCACAAACGATTTTGAGGGAAAGTACTTCGAACCCCTTATTTTTTCATACGATGGAATTGAACCTGTCCCTCTTACATCGAAATACACCCTTTAATGTGAACCAAATAACCCAAATTTTATCATGGTTTAGGATTATGAGAAAGGTAATTATGTTAGTTAATACATAAGAAATACCATAGTGTTTTTTTTTATATTAACAAAATATGTGAAGCTATCGTTAGATACTTTGGCACATTGACATCAGTACAATATGAAAAAGGTTCTCTGTTAATTATGATACTTGAAAATTCTTATTTTTGTATATCTAAGGAACAAGTTGGGAAGAAGAATAACATTTTTCATTAGATAATTTAAACTTAAGGAAGGTAGAAACTATAACGGGCAAAAGATGTAATAATGGGTTCATAAATAGGTATAAAAAATATGCCGTACTAAAAGATTACACTAATTGCTTTTTTGACTATGTCTTGCTTTTGAAAAACAGGGTTCTTTATTCAATCCAAAACGCTTTACACGTGTGCTTGCTTGCTAGTAAAGAATCAAAAGCAGGACATGGTGAAAATAGCAGTAATGTAATCTATTATTTTTTTATAGTTTAGTGCAAGGAATATTTGTATACCTATCTATGAACCCATTATTAATATAACCAAATGAATAGAAATACTTGGTTTATAACTGATTGAAACATCCCTCCATGATTCGTCCGATAGGACAATTTGTTTTTCAGGATTAATTTTGCCAACAGTGTCATTTAGAGGCTTCTGATTGACTATAACGAAGGTTTAGTAATTGAAAAATTATTTTTGTTCATAGAATAAAATTATAAATGCCTCAAATTCAATTTTATATTTTTTTGATTATGAAATTAAACCGTCATAACCTAACCAAACCAACCAAACGTGCTGACAATGAAAAAATATAATGAAGGTTTATTAATCGAAAAAATAGTTCTGTTCATAAAATCAAATTATAAATGCCTCAAATCCTATTTTATATTTTTTTTAATTATAAAATTAAACTATCATAACCTAACCAAACTAACCAGACTTGCTAACAATGAAAAATCAAATGAAGGTTTAACCGAAAAAATATTTCTGTTCATAAAATAAAACTATAAATGGGTCAAATTCAATTTCATAATGTTTTAATTATAAAATTAAACCGTTATAACCTAACCAAACCAACCAAACTTGTTGACAATGAATACAATCCAATACAAAAATGTAGTGCAATGGGTGGGATTCGAAACCCAGGTCCTTCGGATTATCAGCCTAGCACTCTATCCACTACACCACCGAGGCCGTTGACATCGTCTGTATCGTCGCGGTAATGATGTTCCCTCAGCCAATCAGAAGCCTCAAAATAATACTTAGGCAACACTAATCCTGAAATAAAAATTCAGCCGTCCGCAAGGTTCATATTAATAAGGAAAACATTAGAGGTTATTTTTGTAATTAAAAGCAACATAGCGTGAAATGAAGCAATTTATCAACAGTGTAAGCAAATATATTGATAGACAAACAAACAATTATAGTTTATTGACATTTTCTTATCAAAGTAATATAGGATCCTTGATTTTTCCCTTTACTCTTTTTTATTTTCAATAAAATAGTAGAAAACTAAATTTAAACGTAAAAGGAAGGTAGA